CTGTGCTTTCCTTTCTTCCTAATGAGCCAGCTTCACCCCCTCCCCATTTGCAATGTTTATTTTAACATCTGTTTTTTTGACGAGGCGGCCAAACTAAGAATGCTACAGTCCAACAAGGGAGTCAGATATTTATTTCATTTCAATGTATAGCCTCTCTGATCCCTGCAGGCTCAACATGGGGAGCAATAGTCATTGCACAAGACATCACCGTATGCAATCCAAGGTAAAAGAAAAACATTTGCAAGGAAGCTACCACATGTTTCTGATGTATTGTCCATTCTAAATAATTGGGTGTTGCTGCCACTGGATGGGGTGATTCAACCCATCCCATGGAGCCCCCGCTGGCACAATGGGTTAAACCAGGGGTCCTCAAACTTTTTAAACAGAGGGCCAGGTCACAGTCCCTCAAACTAATGGAGGGCTGGATTATAATTTGAAAAAAAAAATGAATGAATTCCTATGCAGAGTTCACATATCTTATTTGTGCAAAAAAATTACTTAAAAACAATACAATAATTAAAATGAAGAGCAATTTTAACTAATATAAACTTATTAGTATTTCAATAGGAAGTGTGGGCCTGCTTTTAGCTGATGAGATCGGATTGTTGTTGTTGTTGTTGTTGTTGTTGTGTGCTTTCAAGTCATTTCAGACTTGACTCTTAATGAGACATGCCGCATTATCACGGGGTGTCTGCGCCCTACACCACTGGAGAAATTACACTGCTTAGCCGGTACTGCACCACCTGACATCCACCGGGAAGCAGCAGCCAATAGTGAAAGGACCAAAGCAGAGACATCTCCAGCTCATCCCCTGTTTGGGTATCAGCCAGCACGTCAACGACTTAAATCTAGAAATAGTTTTCTAAGATCTACAGAGACACTCGCTGGATACACCTCAGCAAGCGAGAGTCCAAAAGTGGCAGGCTCAAACCCAGAACCTCAACCAATGGCTGATACCAAATGAGAGACTCCCCCCTGGGCACACAGAGACTGGGCGACTTGGAAGGCGCTGAACAGACTGTGCTCTGGCACCACGAGATACAGAGCCAACCTCAAGAAATGGGGCTACAGAGTGGAGTCCACAACATACAAGCGAGGAGAAGAGCAAACCACTGACCACCTGCTGCAATGCAACCTGAGCCCTGCCACATGCACAATGGAGGACCTTCTTGCAGCAACACCAGAAGCACTCCAAGTGGCCAGATACTGGTCAAAGGACATTTAACCAACTACCAAACTCACAAATTTTGTATTTTGTCTGTTTGTTTGCTTTGTTCTGTTAGAAATGTAATATAATCTGAGTGGTTGTCCTGACACGACAAATAAAATAAATTTCAGACTTAGGTTGACTCTGAGTGAGGGCCGAGTAAATGACCTTGGAGGGCTGTATCTGGCCCCTGGGACTTAGTTTGGGGACCCTTGGGTTAAACCCTTTTGCTGGCAGGACTAAAGACTGACAGGTCGCAGGTTTGAATCCAGGGAGTGCAGATGAGCTCCCTCTGTCAGCTCCAGCTCCTTATGCAGGACATGAGAGAAGCCTCCCACAAGGGTGGTAAAACATCAAAACATCCAGGCGTCCCTTGGGCAATGTCCTTGAAGACGGTCAATTTTCTCACACCAGAAGCAACTTACAGTTGCTCAAGTCACTCCTGACACACACACAAACCAAAAAAACAAAAACAAAACCCATCCCATGAAAAAGCAGTGACCTATATTAGTCATTCTTCTCTGGAAGGGTTTCAACAGAACCTGGGAGTTTTTTTATTGTGTATCCCTGCCTGGCAGGCGATTGGACAACACCATCTTTGTGGTCCTTTCCATGTCTACTACTCTAAAATTAAAACTCACATGAAGGCAATAGTGACTTCCACATTGGGAGTGAGTCAACTTCCGTTTTTAGTCTGAACTTCGAAAGCTGCTTAACCTTTTTCCCACATAGAAGCAAAACATCTTGAATAGCTTAACTCAGAGCAGATCCATTGCCTTATAGAGATGGACTCTGTCAGCTGCCACTCCATTAAGACACAATGTAATGGGGACATCCAATACCTCTGTTGACCATAAGCATGATTAGAGTCATTCTCACAATATATCAGTGCAACATCAAGTAGCTTTAATTGGAGAGACATTGGTATGTTCAGAAGGTAGAGCAGTCTCTTTGTAAGCCTGACAGTTGGCCATTCAATCCAGATTTTGGCAACAGTTTGTGAATTACTTTGCATAACTGGTCAAAACTGCATGGGATCAGGCTACGGTATTTGTCTCATCAATATTTCATGGTTTAAAATATCTGCACATTCTTCCCAATTTTCTGTCAGGCTGCTAGTGTTTGGTTTTAAGTCTTGCATAGGTATTTGTATACAGTTAATGCATTGGGAACAATGAGGTCAACTTACATTTGATCTTTGTGGTGTCTTTTAAGCCAGAGGATAGGGTCTTCCAAATGCCCGGCATGATACACTCAGAAATATTCAATAGATTAAGAAAGATGGGAACTTACTTCTCTGTGAACGAGCGCAACAAAAGGCCACAATGGTAGCCATCAGCACCAAGAATGCCACACCAGCTCCAACTGCGACGCCTATGATGACTGCCATTGGCACTGACTCTGGAAAAAACAAGAAAGCAATGAAGTGGAGATGGGCTCTGGATACCATTAACCTCTCCCCAGCTTACATTGTCCCTTATTCATTGCTACCCCCAGTAGTCTAGTATAAGAGTCTCCTGAAGCAGTCATTAATATTTGTTCCCATCCAATAACACACGTGGGTATTTCTGTAGATGACACATGATATAGTCAAATGAACTGAATAAGGTCATCTATGTTCATGGAGAAGACATACAGACAAGTGAAGCTCATGTCACTGAACTCTGGATCCCTTATGTCCAGCAAAATCAGTTGAAATGCTGTTAAGAGATTTAGATGGTTGATGTAGGCTATTTCAAGTGGTTTCAAGAGGACACAGAGAACTGATGAGAACTAGAATCAGTAAAGTGTGCATATTAGGTGTGTAGACTTGCTTCCCAAGCACATAAGCTGAAATATTGGGTGGATGATGGGGAACTCTCAGCCATGTTTCAAAGTCATAATGAACCCAAGATTCTAAGTTTTATGTACAATTTCTGTAAAGGTACGGAACATGAAGAACGGAGAATTATCCCACTGCTAAAGGGATAGAACGTTTGTTATCTAATATGCCGCTCTGCATCTATTGAGGTATATCAGTGATGCTCATAATTAATGTGCGGAAGGGGTAAGCTACCTGGCACTACAATAAACAGCAGCTGGGCCATGATACCTCTTCATGTGGCCTGCATTACTGCAGTAAGCACACCAATTGTATCCATGGCCAGAAAGGTTGTTGAAAAAACAGTGAAACATTTCCACGCATCACCCAAGTCAAAAAAGAAGCACCATTAAAGCCTTGGCAGACTGTGCAAAAAGAATCTGCGGATCCCATCTCCTCCAAGAGGAACTGAACCACCTAAACTGGGCTCTCCAGGCCAATGGAGAATCCACCTCAGACATCAGAAGAGCTGCAAGACCGAGAATAAGCCACGAGAAAAAGTGGAAAAGTGTTCCTGCCATACATCAAGGGAACCACTGGCCACATAGGGAAGCTGATGAGGAAACACAACATACAAACTATCTACAGACCCATCAAGACAATCCAACAAATGCTACGTTCAGCAAAGGACAAGAGGGATCCTCTCGCTTCTGCAGGAGTCTACCGTATACCATGCAGCTGTGGACAAGTCTACATAGAAACCACCAAACGTAGAGAGGCCCAAACACGCATCAAGGAACATGAAAGGCACTGCAGACTCCTTCAACCAGAAAAGTCAGCCATAGCAGAACACCTGATGAACCAACCTGGACACAGCATATTATTTGAGAACACAGAAATGCTGGACCATTCTCACAACCACCATGCCAGACTACACAGAGAAGCCACTGAAATCCACAAGCATGTGGACAATTTCAACAGAAAGGAGGAAACCATGAAAATGAACAAAATCTGGCTATCAGTATTAAAAAACTCTAAAATTACAACAGTAAAACAGGGGAAACAAACAAGAGGGGAAACAAACAGGCATATCTAATCACCTCTCAACAAAAGATTGCCCCAGGCACTGCCAGGACATCAAATACTAATCAAGGTGGTCAGTTGAAACATTCACACCTAGCTCCAACAGACAAGAGTTCTTTGTCCCACCCTGGTCATTCCACAAATATATAAACTTTCTTTCCCAGTTCCAACAGACCTCACTACCTCTGAGGATGCTTGCCATAGATGCTGGCGAAATGTCAGGAGAGAATGCCTCTAGAACATGGCCATATAGCCCGAAAAAACCTACAACAACCCATTTCCATGCATTTTTATTTTCACCAAAATATTGTTTTGGGAGATAAACTTGATCCTATTTTTTTTTACAGATAACAACTGGGCTGCACAAAATATAACGGCTGGAATCCTGTTTGCGAAATACACAAACGTAAGTCTTAACTATGTATGTATACGTCTTTCTGTGTCTGTATTATCCCCATGAAGTGTGTGTGCATTGGCAACAGGCAGCTTAGGTAAAAGCACAGGGATTGGAGAAAGCACTTACTTAAACCATGGTCTTCAGCATTGCTTTCTGTTGTAAAATGTTGGGTTTTGAGTAAAACATTTTTTTAAAAAAATGGAAATTTTACAAACAAATACCCAAATGGGAAGAATCATTTGAAAAATTCACAAAGCAGTGACATTCACCCACCAAGGAGGAAATTTTTGTGTTTACTGGGTTGCAACAATGAGGGATATTAAGGTATATATTCTCTGGGTGTCGGTTTCACCTATCTCAAAATCAATACTTACTACACCAAGTTACACTGTTCAAATACAAATGCTCTGTTTGTAAGTTGTTTGTAAGGCCCTTTTCTCTAAATCAGTGGTTCTCAACCAGTGGTCCACTGACCATCAGTGGTCCCCAAGAACTAAAATATGGTCTGCAGCCTTGCTGTTACTAAACCATTAAAACGAGAGTGACTGGCCTCACGAAACCATCTTATAGTGCCGAGGCAACAGGGATGTCGGGAGGGGAGAGTCTGACTACCCACAAAAGGCACGACAACAAGCCTCCTGACTGCTGCATCTCCTCCCTTCCTCCCTCCCACTGAGTGGAGCCATTCCATGTGGTGCCTCAGATAATATTTTAAGATGTGTTTAAATGTTTTTCTCTTTGTATTATTTTAATTGCTTTTATTTGCTCATCACCTTGGGAACTCTTGTGGCCGAAGGCAATATAGATATATCTTAAATGACTACCATGATAAATAAGTCATGAAGGAACATAACTAAACCTTTATTCATAATCACCCCTGAATTAAAAATAGAATAAACACACAGAGGGTACTAGAAGCATAAATTGGACTGATGGGATGAAGAGGAATAATCAGTGTCTCTTTGCAAAAGGGGTTTTTCCATTCTGTATAAAGAGGGCAGCAAAAAGACAATGGTTAAAAACCTATTCAGAAATCTTTGAAGGTCAGCCTCAAACTTGTTCTTAACAATGCAACTCCAAACTTTTTGGAGGGGATTAATTACACTACCCAACACAATTTTTGTTCCTGGGTTATAAATGTCATAGAATCATAGAATCAAAGAGTTGGAAGAGACCTCATGGTCCATCCAGTCCAACCCCCTGCCAAGAAGCAGGAATATTGCAAATCCCCCCTGACAAATGGCCATCCAGCCTCTGTTTAAAAGCTTCCAAAGAAGGAGCCTCCACCACACTCCGGGGCAGAGAGTTCCACTGCTGAATGGCTCTCACAGTCAGGAAGTTCTTCCTCATGTTCAGATGGAATCTCCTCTCTTGTAGTTTGAAGCCATTGTTCCGCATCCTAGTCTCCAGGGAAGCAGAAAACAAGCTTGCTCCCTCCTCTTCCCTGTGGCTTCCTTTCACATATTTATACATGGCTATCATATCTCCTCTCAGCCTTCTCTTCTTCAGGCTAAACATGCCCAGCTCCTTAAGCCGCTCCTCATAGGGCTTGTTCTCCAGACCCTTGATCATTTTAGTCACCCTCCTCTGGACACATTCCAGCTTGTCAATATCTTTCTTGAATTGTGGTGCCCAGAATTGGACACAATATTCCAGATGTGGTCTAACCTAATGTCATTTCCCAATTGGTTCTATTATAAAAATATAGAATAAAGTTTATTAAACTGCAAAAACTTTGTTTTTGTGGGACATGCTGCAGCACATTTTGCTATAGTTTTTTAAATGAATGTCTCATTGAGTCTCAACCAATACAACATAGTTTGTGTTCGCCACAAAAATGAAGTTTCTGGAATATAACAACTACTTGCAAAATAGGTATCACACAATTAAACAGAAAATGACACTTTCAAATCAGGAACATTTTTTTCAAATGTTATTACATAGTGATCTGGAGTTATTTCAAATGGGGGTTAGGCAGCTTTGTAGATGATCTATGAAGGATGGAGGGATCCTGGTCATTCACCTGGACTTCTTTGCAGCTTTTGATACCATTCACCATGTATCTTGCTGTATTGGGCATTTTGGACAATGTATGGTAATAGTTTCAGTTATTTCCGTTGAGTTGTACCCAGAGATATACCTGCCTGAGATATACCTGCTCTCAGCTATTGCTTTCAGGAATTAGTCTTCTGCCCAATTCAGTTCTATATCCCGTTTCCTTCAATTTTTCAGTATCTGAAGTTTCTGATACTGAATTAGAAACTTTGGAAAGGAGTATCACCAGTATGCTGATAGCATGCAACTCTACTTCTCCATGCCATCTAGTATCAAGAAAATAGGCAATATTATTAATATTGCCAACATTTAATCGTGGCCACTGCTGGTCAGAAGCTAAAGTAAAGGTAAAGGTTTCCCTTTGACATTTAGTCTAGTCGAGCCCGACTCTGGGGTTGGTGCTCATCTCTATTTCTAAGCTGAAGAGCTGGCATTGTCTGTAGATGCCTCCAAGGTCATGTGGCTGGCATGACTGCATGGTGCACTGTTTCTTTCCAGCTAAAGTGGTACCTATTGATCTACTCACATTTGCATGTTTTCAAATTGCTATATTGACAGAAGCTAACCATGGGAGCTCACCCCGTCCTGCGGATTCAAACCGCCAAGCTTCCGTTCAGCAAGTTCTGCAGCCTAGCAGTTTAACCTGCTGCGCAACCAGAGCCTAGTTGGTCAGAAGCTAGCATAGTTTAATGTTGGACTATAACTCTGGAGATCAGAGTTCAAGTCCCTGCTCAGCCTTGGAAACTTTCCCTTGAACAAGTCACACTTTCTCAGCTTTAGAGGAAGTCAATGACAAGCCCCCTCTGAACAATTCTTGCCAAGAAAACCCCATGATAGTAATGAATCCACTTTAAATCCGGTTGCTGCCTCCTGCAGAATTCTGGGATTTGTAATTTAGGGAGGAGCCTTTAACAGTCTCACTAAACTACAAACCCCAGAATTCTTCAGGGGGCAGAAATCGGCAGTTGGAATAAGAATGGGAAAGCTTGGTTTGCCCAACCATAACGACAGGGAGGGGATCTCAATGTGCAAAGCAAAAAGGGAAAAATAAAAAGGAAATTTAAA